GCGAGAGAAATCTTTATTTCCCATTGAAACGATGGAAAAGTCACGACGAAAAAAACGTTCGTTTCGCAATAGAAATAATTCGAGGTTTGGTCGCCCGGATAATTGAAAGACGAAAAACTGAGACTGAAATAATGATCTCTCGCCGAGACGCCTTCTTAATCCGCTCCTGACTTGAGTAGTGTATTCGCAGCAACGCCGAGCGCCTTCTTGTTCCGCGTTCCCCTATTCGCAAACGCGGCACAGTTGCGGTAGCAGCCCCATAATACCGTTCGCGTGATGAGCACGCGACATGTGCGACATGTGCGACTCGTTACATGCCTGATTGCCTTATCTCTCTCGTGGCGTACGTGGCACACGCGTGTTGATCATCATCACGCTAAACAGCCTGCAATAAACTTCTCTCGCGCATCTTTCGCGATCTTGACAGGAATAACATACGGTCCTCTTTTCTATTCTCGTCTCGCCTCTCTTGATGAAGAACTTAAAATAAAATTCACTTTGCTGGAAATAAATTTTATCGATGAAAAATATAGTAATTAAAGAGACCTCTAACGCAAAAGAGGCACGAGGGAACAAAAAATATCAGAAATAGCTAATTCAATAGATGATTCCTAAGATAGTAACAGACTATCTTCATTGATTTTTTTTTTTGTAAGCGATAATCTAATCAGAGAAATTAACTGGTTTTCTCTTAATGATAGATAAAGTTGTCATGTGAATCGACATTGATAAATTCATATCTAAAGGTAGTGTTAATTAAAATCAATTAACAATCTGTTTAAATCAATACAAAGGTTTGTTTTTAATTTTTTAATACATTTATTGAGATCGCATAACTTTTCTTGTAGAATCAAACTGTCTATGTCAATTTATGCTTTGTTCAGTTATTTAAGCTTTGTTCAGTTAATTATTCTGGAATTTAGAATTCAAGCGTATCTCTAGACAAAATAAATTTACAAGAAATAATAGATAAAAAAACCGGTGAGACGAAAGAGAAATTATTTTTTACGTATTATTGAGGAAACGCAATATCGAGAAATCTCGTTTTATGTAACGATTTTTTGCCGACGTAAAGTAAATTTGACGACAAACAGAGCTATAACTCGAAATACGAGGTTCTCTCTACTGCCTATCAAAGACCTCTAACTTGCTGTCGTAAATCGAGTCGATTTCGTAACGATCCTTTCGGAGAAAGTCTGCGAACCACTGAACGTAGGACGAACGGTGTAATTGCGATAGGTGATGTATTTTCATCGTGAAAATCAATATAAAATATCAATATAAAATATCAAAGAATCTTTAGTTCAACAAAACGTTATATATAATATTCAATGTAGGGAACGTATATGCGTGTCTTGCACATCAAATGCATCAGGCTGCAGATGACAAGAAAAATGGTGCGGCTGTTCTTTTTGTTTTACGGGCAGACAGCATTATAAATTGTTCTTCGTTTGCTCTCACATAGACCGATTATGTATATTCATTTCTCAGCTTAGTTTCTGAACTCGACTTACGTAATATTACGTATAGAGTTTCGTTCGAATAAGCCGTCGTATCGCGTTACGTCGAGTCTGCAGTTGCACGTTGCACACACAATTTATTATTTAATTAGTCTCGTGAAAATTAAATCTCGTGAAAATGCAAACGTTATGAACGATTAGCTATGAATTCTATTTTGTTTCTACGTCGCTCTTATTGGTAGAAGAAATTTGAGAAATAAAAGCATCTGGAGTAACATTTTATGAGAAAGGAATAATGAATAAGAAACCGAAATAATTGTAAAAAAAAAGGATTATCTCTAAAAAAAAAAGTAATCGCCTTACATCTTATTACATTAAGCGCAACAATGCGCATTAATACGCAAGTAACTTTACAGAGGTACGCTTTTAGAGAGTCACTTCCGGTTCCCGTGCTCTCGTATATTGAGTAAGAGTCAACCGCGTTATGTAAGCTGCTGAGAAAAAAATCGTAAGCACTCGGCAGACGTAATTTGCCAATTATTTCCGCAACAATGTAAAATAACAGTAAAAGTGACAATTGTTTGTCGTAATATATCGTATTATGTTGCTGTCAGAATTCATATCGTCAGCCAGTGGTATTGCTTGGGGATATACCATGAAAATGGAAACTTTTTCCATTATTAACATTTGCCGCGATATTAAGATCGATAAAAATTTTAATAGAAAGTAATGTAACATTATCGCATATATGTCACATAAGAAACTGTATGACGAACGTTAAGAAACTAATTTACTGGACACTCGTTATTCTACTATAAAATCAGGTTTTGATAAACGAAAAATTATTTATGCTTAATAAAATACAAAACATTATAAAATATTATTGAATTATAAAAAAGAAAACGATAATTTTGATAATATCGTCTTGTCAATTTCAGTCATTAAAAACAAAATTTTCCGAATAAAAAATTTAATAAATCTTTTTTTTTCCACAACATTTTTTATCGCCCATGACTTATAAAAGAAATTATGATTGTTCATTTCATATATGCGACTTGACCGTGCAACTTCACACCCTTCCAGCTGCATTCCAACGTCGTAAAAAGAATGGCCACCTGTGCATTCCACCCCTCAGCATTCCAAACGTTGTAAACAAAATGAGGGTTACGTTTGAAAAGTTCTTATGCGACACGCGACACAAATTAGTAAAGAAAAGAAAGAAAGAAGCACTTACATACGTATAGCACTTTTATTATTTAAAGAGCTACTATTTCTTTAGCAATAATATTGA